ATGTACAATTTCTAAAACTCATACTAATTGTTAGGCCATTATTTACACACTGAATTGTCGACGGATTTTTCCGTTATTTCCCGATCATAACAAGGAGCACACGGCGGGTGTGACCGATCGGCAGGGGATGCTCACTCCTCCATGGCACCTGATCCCACCTCTGATGTTTGGAGGTCCGTGTTTGCTCTGCTCCTATTTTGTATTGTATAATGGACTTTTGAGCTTGAATACTGTTCGTTATCTCCATATATTTCATTTACAGTTTTTTAACATGAGGAACTTTTCTACTCTTATTCTTTCGGTAATAACATGTTTTAAAGCCTCAATATTTAATTTTACAGTTTTGGAGAACTTTCTCGCAAAAATGTATTGTTTAATTATCAGGATTAGTAGATTTTCTAACTTGTATAAGTTTCTATTTGTAAATTTACCAAATAAAATTGATTGCCTATCAAAGCAAACAGACCTGTTCAGTTTTTGCAAAATCCATTCCTCAATCTCTAACCAAACTTCTTTTACCAGAGAACATTCAACAAAAAGATGATCAATAGTTTCCATATCCTTCCCGCAGAAGGAGCATAATGGTGAATTAATTAGTTTTAATTTAAAAAGATGGCATTTTGTAGAAATTATTCTATGCAAAATTTGGAATTGTAGCCATTGGAGTTTTGATTCTTGGGTTGTTTTGAAAGGTAGCTCAAAATTTTTTTCCAAATATACTTCACCAAATTCTTCTCCATTTTCACTCCATTTTATAACTGAAGTAATATTACCATTTTTATTATTAATGAGAATATTATACATATCTTTACATCCTTTTTTACTCTTTAAAAATATTCCAAGGGTGGCTGGAATAAGTGGTCTAGAAATTGGCATTATTTTGTAATTCTTAAAAAAGGCTAGCCTCTTTCTAATTGCCGTCCTTAATCCTGCATATTCAACATAGTTTGTGTTTACCTTAATGTTATTTTGTTTGAATTTAAAACTGTAGAAATCCCCATTTGGATCTAGCAAGTCTGCATTATGCCATATGTGTTCTTGAGGAGGAGTTACATGTAAACCATCCATAGCTTTAGTCTGGTATACTTTACACCAACTGGAAAATACATCTTTCCAAAACTTATTTTTCATGATACTACTCAGATTCTTAATAAAATCAATTCCGAACATCCAAAGATGATTTATATTTGTTTCCAGTTCTGCTTCAGGTAATTTAACCCATTTAGCATTTGAACACATAACCCGTCTTATCCAACTGGATTTTAATGATGTAAGAAAATCTTTATAATCTATCATTTTCAAACCCCCATATCTATACTCCTGAATCATTACATTTTTTTTACTTTATGATTCTTATTATTCCAAAGGAAATTATACAAGTCTTTTTCAAAAGCACTTAAGACATCATCAGTGGGATTTGGTAAAGTGAGGACGAGATGATTTAATTTAGGTATTAATAATGTTTTTATTACTGTCAGTCTTCCAAGAGGAGTAAGTTTGCGAGTTTTCCATTGTGACATGTTTTTTTTAATTTCTTGAATTTTTAATTTGTAATTAAAATCTACCATCTCATGTAAATCAACAGAAAACTTAACACCTAGTAAACCAAAGGATGTAGTATTGGTATCAAACTTCCATCTGGAGTGGTGATATACCTCTTTTGAGAATTTTTTACTTCCAATCCAAACTAGTTTAGTTTTAGAAAAAAAAATATTTTTAGCCCTGAGATTGATGCAAAATAATCTAAAACTCTTGTAATTCCACCCAATGAGCTTGGAGAGCCATCAGAAATAACAGATGTATCATCTGCATATTGTGACAACTTGTATTCTTCACCATCAATTGTAATACCTTTTATATCTTTATTTTTTCTAATTAAAATACCTAGAATCTCTGCACAAAGTAAAAAAAAAAGGTATGGTGAAATAGGATCACCTTGTCTACAACCCCTTTCAGGGCAGAAATACTGTGACACAATCCCATTTTGAATAACACAGGATTTGATATTATTATAGAAACATTTTATCAAGTTTCTAATTGAGGGACCAAAATTGAAAAAAAAACAAACAAAGTGTTTGATATATGAAGTTCCATGAAATTGTATCAAAAGTCAATAAACATTAGTAGACCAGGTATTTTTCTCGATTCTGCTTGGTGCATAATATCATATATTAATCTAATATTTTCACGAATAAATCTACCTTTAATAAATCCTGTTTGGTCTTCATGTATTAACTTATCCAAAAAAAATTTTATTCTTTCAGCGATACATCCAGAAGCTAATTTATATAGAACATTTAAGAGGCTAATAGGCCGCCAGTTTTTTTAAAATTGTCGTGGATTACCAGTTTTTGGAATACAGGTTAATACGCCAAGTTTGTTTGGTTCAGAAACTGTTTGTTTTAAGTATGAATCATTGATTGCCCGTGTGATGAATGTGCCAATATCCATCCAAAAAAATTTAAAGAATTCACAAGTGAATCCATCTGGACCTGGGCTTTTATCATTTTTCATATGTTTAAAAAATTTTAGAACCTCTGTTTTTGTTACAGGGCCCTCTATAATTTGTGATTCTTCAAAAGACAGCTTGGGGATATCATTGTATTCTGATAATTTTTCACTATAGTTTTCATTTTCTATTACTTCTCTTTTTTATATAGATTTTCATAAAATAATTTTGTTTCATTTAGAATATCATATTGATTTGAAATAATAGATCCATTTTCTTTTTCTAACTTGGTATCTGTTTACTTATATAATTTCTAGATTCGAGTTGACTGAAATATTTTGATGGTTTTTCTCCTTCATCAATCCATTTCATTCGGGAACGGATAACCTGTCCCTTTAACCTTGTCTTATGTATATCTTCAAGTTCTGTTTGTTTCACATTAAGGGTAGCTAATGCACTTTCTGTTAAATGTTGTTCTAAATATAGAATCTCATTTTCTAAATATAATTCTCTTTCAAGCATCTTTTTTTTTCTTATAACTTAAATAACAGATAGTCTTTCCTCTAATTTCCATGAGTAAAATATCTAAGAAACACTGGTCACCAACAGTAAAAAATAATAGTTCGTTATCAACAGAACAAAGATTATCTATATTGTACACTGGGCAAGCATACTGAACTATCACTTCATTAATTTTTTTGTTTTATTGATTCAATATAAACCTTATCTGTTAAAAGAGAATTGTTAATCTTCCAAAATCCTTTACCTTTTACAAAGTCATTTATTTTCAAAGACATCACAACTGGAGAATGGTCTGATCTATAGCTGCTTTCATATTGAACACTACTAACAGAAGGGAGCAATGATTCAGAAATTAGAAAAAAATCTAACCTAGCCTGTTTTAAGGGTGTCTTTTTCCTCAATGAATAGCGTCTAACTTGAACATAGTTTTCACGGAAAACATCTTTTAAATTCAAATTTTTCATTAAATTCATAACTTCCATTCTCGCTTTTGGATTATTCAAGTTTTTATAGTTCATGGAATCTAATTCCTTATCCAAAACTAAATTAAAATCCCCTGCTATGATTATTTGTTGCAACATATACATTTTTTCAATCTCATTCATCAAATTTGAGTAGAAAACTGGTGTATCATAATTTGGCCCATAAATATTTGCAAGTAAAAAAATTGTACCCTCAACGTTACAGTCTATAATTATATAATTTCCATTTTCATCACTCAAATGTTTGGGGATATCTATTTCGCAATTATTATTAAAAAGAATAGCAACACCACGCGAATTAGACTTATAAGAACTGAAGAAAGCCTGATAACCCCACTGTGTCTGGATGAATTTTTCGTCATTTTTAATGAAGTGTGTGTCCTGCAGAAAGTAAATATTATAGTTCTTTTTTTCTTGACGTATTAAAAACATCTAATCTTTTATTTTTATCTCCAAGACGCTGGCAATTCACTGTGAGTATATTTAGATGATTTTCTTTAACCGTATTCATATAAAAAAAAAATCAAGAGGGAGTCGAAAAAGTGCCCAAAGTAAAGAAAGGAGAATAAATGGGAAATAGAAACGTAGTAGAAAGATAAAGGTGCATATTTACAAAAAAAGTGAATTAAAGTTGCCATCAGCCTTTTGATCGCATCTACTGATGGAGAAAGGAATTTGTCAATCTGCATTTACCACTAAATAATACCCAAAACAAATACAATCGGAAATACAAATTGCATAATGTATGAGTAAGTCTGAGTAACTGATATTTTCCCGGAAAAATTCTCCAGCTAAGGAAAAGAAATCCAACTTAGATAAAGATAGAAAAGAAAGAAAGAAAAAAAATAAACAGATAATTATGAAAAAAAGTTACTTTTGTATGTTACACAGGAATAGTATTTATATTGTGTTCGTCTGTTTAATTCTTAGTAACAGGTGCGACTCACAGCTTTGATAACAAGATCGTTCATAACGTCAAAGCGACGGGGACCCAAATGCCTACCATTTTTTCTCGAAATGACAACGCTACATTTAATACATCTCTCTCAACAAGTACCTTTAGCATTCGACGTCCGACCCCGTACTCCCCATTATCACAGTAACCGTCGTGCACACGTCCTTGAGCATCTTTAAATCGGTATACTAAAATGTTATGGTTAGCACAGGCATAGTCTGGATTGCGTAAAACATTTTTGTATACGTTTCTGACCTGTGCATATGTATTCATTTCGGAGATGAGTGAAGTGAAGATATTCCCGTCTTCTGTAACACTGTCACATCTATTAACATCACATTCTTCCAGTTTTTCGATTTCTTCTTTGTCCAGCATGAGTAGAACTTATTTCCCACTATCTTTGTCTTTACATTTTCTTCTCGATACTTGTTGTTTATCTAATGTAGCTTTTGTTTTTTACTCTCATTTATTTGGAGAGGGGTCTGAAGAGTTATGTAAAAAGGTATGTTGTAAATGGTGCAATTTTCCCTCTTTGTCTAATAGCCTGGAGGATGAGTTCTTTATCGTTGTAGTTCTGTAATTTCCCTGTTATTTACCTTGGTTTAGAATTACCTGGAAATTTCTGACCGTTTCGGTGTATTCTGATGAAGCAAACTTCCAAATTCAAATGCTCCTTGATCAACTCGCTAACTCTAGTTGTTAGATCTTCCTGGTCATCTTCAGCTAAATTATGAACAAGTCTATTGTCCCTCATTGATCTTCCTTTGAGGTTCACTATTTCGTTCTCTTGCTGAGTGACTCTTCTGTCTAGGTTAACGACGATAGACTTTAAAACTTGGAGCTCTTTTCGCAAATAACTGTTTTCTAATTTCAGCGTTTCAATTTCACCAACATTATCTTCATGTTGTTGGCTGATGTATTTGATACGTTCGTCTAACCCATCTTCGTCCCAACGATCTCGATTCATATTATTAACTGATTGCTGTAGAATATTGATATTGTCCAATTTACCGGTGATTGACCGTAAGCAATCATGGATAGCGGACATCTGTATTGACGCTCCAGTGGTTCCCGACTCCAGGGTAGGATTACACTGTGATTTGTTCTCATCCTTGCTATTTTGAGAAGCCATAATTTTGAAAGTTACAAACTTCCAAAAACACACCATTTTTTTCCAATTTAACACAAAAGGTACGCCAACTAGAAAGAAACACCCCTGTAAAGTTTTTGGGGCAACAGCTAAGTCATCAAATCACAGATCGACTTATTCCTCCCTTAAATTTACACCATGACCATACTAACCATAGGTCACGTGATCTCAACCCATTTTATACCGTGTTGATTATAAATCGCTAACGTCTTGATAAGTCTATAAAAGCCACATAATGCAGATTGTGATTTATTTCATTGATTTAAATACTCTTCATTATTTTCCATTTCATTTTTTGCAACATTCCTTTAATTATTTTTATATGATTTGCTCTTTGAAATATCTTAAGCAATATAGTTGAGAAATTAAGATAGGTATAGACCATGCTTACCTTTAAGCATCTGCTGAGCATATACTTAAGGGTTGAGAAGTTTTATGCAACATGCAAAGCAATATGCTAAGTAAAATTTCAATCTGCTAGGCTGGAAAACGTTACTTAAGTAAATGCTTAAGTATTTGAGAATTTTTATGCATATGAATCCAGAGCTATCATTTCCTTTATCAAATCAATATTTGATAAAAGAAAGCAAATACGGCTTTACATTTAAAAATACTGGGTCTTTCCAAATAATTCAAAATGCAAAGAAAAAAATTTAAAAATCTTTTTGAAATAATGTGCCTCTTCAATACATGAACATGTCAAGTCATTCCATTTTACAAAAATATTGTATGAAGGAAAAAACTCTACTATGTATATTATAGATATTATTTAAATGTTATATAGCAGTTCAGTGTTTTTAATGGGAGATGGGCAATTTTTTTAAGGAGAAAAATATCAATAAGAATTATTATTAATTTTACTTTTGGGAAACAAAAAAAAAAATAAATAAAAAAAATAAATAAATAAAAGAAATGTCAAAAGTGTCCCAACACAAAAAATTCCTAATAATTTACATGGGTTAGGTATTTTGACTGCATAACATTATCATAAACGACACGAACAAGGAACGTTATTTCCCAAAGATTTTTATTGTTTAGGCATCAGTTTTCTTATTTAAAAAAGTGTGTGTGTGATGTCTTTTTTATGTGTATGTGTTTTTCTTAAATGGACATGAACCCCCCCCCCCCCAACAAAATAAATAAACGAAATAAAAACAATCATACTGTTTCGTTGCTGCTATGTACAACATTAGATAACATGCAATGGATATCATAGAATATTTCTAATTTTCCCAACTAATAATGATAATTATGACTACATACTTGATTTGTTAAGGATCCTTCTCTCACTAATGAATTGCTGCTGTCCGGATAGATTACACTGAAACCAAAGGCACATTAGTTTATTTATAAAAAGAATAAATTTCTCATTCATAATTTACTGTTTTTTAGAAGTGTCTAATCTAGCATGTCAATAGGTTATGAAAACTTTTACAAAGTCATTGATTAATGATTAAATCTTTTATTTCTAATCTTTTATGCAAACAAAACATGGTAAACATAAAGATTTATCATACAATTAAATAAGTATTTGCATATATACCTTGATATATCCCTAAAAATGAGGGACTGCGACATCCTGTTTTTTATCCAGCAAAGTAGTTTTTCTGTTTCATGACTATTCTCTAAGTTGAAATCGAGAAAATGGGTTTGCTATATTGATGAGAGATCCACATGCCCAAAGTCTGATAATACACCCTGTAACAAACTAAATTTATCCCATATGATACGCCTATCGTATGATAATATATATTGATCATTATCCTGTGGGGAGCACCTCGATTAGCAATTTTATCTACCTGAGAGCTCGTGTTCGAGTAGTACCCGGAAAGTCACAGCCAAAATTAGACCTATTTGGCTTGTTCTGAAGTAGCCGGGGCAGGTGCTCAAAAGTACATCAGTATTTACGGGAATGAAAATGTTATTTGTAAAATATGTTTAAATAGTTTGAATCTACACATTTAGTATGGTTGTTTTTCACTATTTTTTTCCCTAGGGTCCTATTTCCCCGGGCTTTCGTCCCGTTTCTCAAATGACACAGGTCTTGGGCGGGGTACATAAATTCCATTGATACAGTAGCCAGTCCAGGGCGAGAGGGAGAGTCTTGGTTATGCTGCTATAATGGCACATGTGAGCGAGCGTCAGATACGGCAGCCCAGATGGATAACTCGGGACCAGCATTTAAAAGTTATGTGTTAAAAAGAATTCAACACTTTGAAAATTATATTGATTAAATCCAAAGATAATCCAAACAGCATTGTGAAAGTTTAAGAAACAGTGATTTATGTGTTATTTGTAAATTTATATTCAATTTCATTTGTGAAAAAATGCGTGTGAGGAAAATTCAACACCAAAATTCTGAAAATGTTAAACAGAGGTGCTGTGATCAGTTAATCACACTTTCCAGGACACTTCCCTGGACGGTCAGCAGATAGACATTTCATTTCAATTATTTTTATTTATTTTGTTGTAAAAATTTACCTTTGTTTACTAAATTTTGTTAAAATTTCAATTTGTTGTTTCCTTGATTTATTCGGGTTCTAAAGGTGTATAACGCACATCTCAACAATTTGGTGGCAGCGGTGGGATACATCTGAGCTTGGATAAATGAAGGAAATATTTTGCTTGCTTGTTTGTTTTTATTATTAACTTTAGTTTTGTGTTGCAGGTTCAAAAACTTTCACAATGTCTGATATGCCAGAGTGGATGTCTGACTTAATTGAAAAGGGTAAAAACGTAATAGAATGTCTCGAGATGTGGCGTCAGGAGCAGCAATCCAAGAGAGAGCGAGAGAGAGAGAGAGATGGGCGCAACGCAGCACAGTTAAGGCTGCAGTAAGGAGGCGGGGCCTAATTATTACGGGAAATGCTTACTATGACATCACAAAAAAATAGAAGTTCTTCAAATTACCACAAAATGAAATGATTTGCTATCTTAAACTTATGAATAGCTTTAAACTACATCAATACTAACTAGTGCATGCATTATTGTCGTTGGTTAAATCCCACACAGCAATATATAAACAATTCACTGATCGCAATGCACTTGTCAATGTGACGTCATATCGGAAAATTTGACGCAGTTTGTATGCAGTGAGAGGCGGATCAAGTTATATTTATACAATGAAAAATGTATTTTGTAATTAAATAAAATATAAATTGTAGATATATAAGAGGCCATTAACTTGGATGCGATGTCTGTTTTATGATTTTATTCATATACTTCCCGTACATTCCCTAGACAAGCGATACTGTCGTATATTTGTATGCAGATTCATTGAAGGGTAATAGAAGGGTCGTAATAAATCGATATATTGCAAGGGCATACCCTCAATGAATTATGACAAGCTTTTACACATGAACTCAAGAAATATGAAGATATTTGAAAAGTGCTGCGAACCTGTTGAAATCTTGCAAATGAATTAATTATATCTATATTTAATGTACTTGACCAGCAAAATATTCAACATACAGTCTAACAAATGTATTTTAGCAATTAGATAGTAGAATCTATATAGGTTCGCAGCACTTTTCACAAACTACAAAGAGTGTTGAAAATAATTATATGTTAAACTTAGATTTTTAACTTGGTTATGCCCTTGCAATATTAGAATTTATAGATGACCTCAATACTTCAGGTATATTTGCTAAAATCACGTGACTGCCACATCACGTGACAAGTCTTAATAAGAAATCTAATCGTCCTCAACATTTAGTTTTCAACCACACTGCATTTGTCCGATAATAGTAAAGTCCTAAAAAGAAATGCCCATCCTTGTAAAGAATGTATTTTCTATCTAAAAAAAATCGCCGATATTTCCATTTGGCACCTTAACTGTGCTGCGAAGAGAGAGAAGAGCATCAGGCACAGAGAGAGAGTGCAAAACTAGAGGTAGAAAGAGATCTGAAATTACGAGAGTTAGCATTAAGAGAAGAAAAAAAACTAGAACATGCTAAAAATGGGGGGTCTCAACCTCATGGGATTTTAAAAATGCCCAACTGTTAAGTTACCCAAGTTTGAGGAGGGACAGGACCCTGATGTCTTTTTACGGTCGTTTGAAAAGATAACTGGGTTGCAGAAATGGGATAAATCCCAGTGGTTCATTCGCTTGGTTCCTATGTTAGCAGGTAAGGCTTTGGAAGAGTATTCAAGATTGTCGGATGCAGATAGTGATAAGTATGAGGTTATCAAAACTGCTATTCTCAAGAGAAATGAGCTTACTTCTGAGGATTGCAGGGGAAAATTTCGTCAGGGTAAGTAGTCAATTGATGAGTCGTTTAAAGATTTTGTGTTAGGGTAGAAAGGTACCTTAATCACTGGAGTGAACGTGAGAAAATAGATGCAGATTTTGGCAGGTTGTATGATATGGTCTTGAGAGAACAGGTTGTTAGAAGTTGTCCAAAAGACTTACAGTTGTGGATTCTTGAGCATGACCCAAAGTCCATTGAGGAGGTTATAGAGTTGTCTAATGCGATTCAGGCGGCACATAAGAGTTCTTATCTTAGTGGCAATAGTGAACAATTTAATGGCTCAGGGAATAAGTCGACTGGAAAGCCAAACAAGTTTGGTTCGACAAATTCTTAAAATGGTAAGTCAAGTCCACCTTTAATACGGGGGATAGCAGAAAGTGTTTCAATTGCGATAGAGTTGGACATATTGCAGCAAACTGTTTATTTAAGAAAACTCAGTCAAAAGGTCTAGACGGTAAAGGTCAGAGAGGCACAATGCCTGAGAAAAGGTCAGAAAATGTTGGGTTGAGTTTCGATAAGTCTGAGTCTAAAGTTGTAGATCCAATACAAGATACATCAAGAGATACGGTGATTCTCAAATTATCCAGTTATTGAAACGTCGGCAGCATTGAGTTTGGATTTAGTAAAAGGCCAGGTGAGTGATCAACCAGTTGCAGTCTTAAGAGATACCGGATGCTCTACTGTATTTGTAAGGGGTAAGTTTATTTCAGACTCTGATAAAACAGGACGTTCAAGAGTGATAGCTCTAGCAGATGGATCTCAAAAAAAAATGTGATGAGGCAATGGTAAATCTTAAGACTCCTTATGTATCAGGTAAGGTACATGCCCTTGTTCTTGATTCTTCCTTTGCTGATGTAATTATTGGTAATAATGTTAGCATACTCAAACCAATGGAGGACGGAGAAGAAATCAATATGGATGGAGATGACGAAAACACCTGCGCTGCACTTCAGACACGTTTGCAGGCCAAGTTAGAACAACGAAATAGTTGTTCTCAGAGAAAAGCAACAGATAAGGATTCAGAGAATGAAAGTTTGAAACAGTTATGGTGCAGCAGAGAGAAGTTGGTAGAACTTCAAGAATCAGATGACAGTTTGAAATCCACACTGAGTATGGCACAAAATAATACTCCATATTGATTAAAAGAGAAATTTTCCATATCCTTTAAAAATGATACAGTTTTCTATCGCTCTAAATCAATCTAATGAATTTTTTTTATTCTCGCTTTATATTACTTAAACTAAAATCAAGTGTTTTAATTTTTTTAAATTAAAATAAATTTCATTGAAGATAAATCGGCATTTAATGGTCTTTCCTGTTTTGTCATCGATGTAAACTTCAATTATTGAAAACATAAAAAGAATGTATTAATTATAAATTAATTTTGTTGACTGCTTAATTCTCATATTGCTTGTGTGAAATGATGCAGATCCATATTCAACCTATACACCAAATTACTCAGGGTTTGTGTGAAATTCGAATGTCATTACATATTTTTTTCCGGTTGTTTGCACTTGCAAAATTTACCATGAAGATATTAGCCATCTTATGTTAACACGATAATATGGCCGAATATTATTTACATTCAAAATGTTTTGTTTTTTTTTTCCAAAATTCGATAAAAAAATAATTCCTAATAATATCTGTCGGTTGATCTCTGAAATTGCAAATGTGTTTTTTTCTGTATTTACGAGTAAAAGAAACTAGTTAATCTTTAAAACAATCTACCAATATATCAAACTTCGTATTTATTTCAATAAAGATGTTAAGCTAAATATTTCTAAGAAGAGGGTTAACAGGCAATTAAAACAGCTAAATGTTGCGTTTCAAATGTAGTGAGTAGCATAGTATTTTTTTAAATTGTTATTTTGTAAGATTTTTGTCATCACATTCATTCACGTAATTTTGATAGCTATGCATGTATCCATAATTTCACATCGATCCGATCTTGAAACCTTGCACTGTAAATTGTTTGATTAAATCCATCACTAATATCATGGAACATTTATCCACTGTCTATTTAATAAGTCAACTTAAAAATTTGAAATTCTTTTCTTCAAATACGACATTTTCCTACATAAACGAGGGTAATTATTGACAAACAAGTTGATGAAACAAGAATATCAGCTGTCTCGTTTAAAGTCATCATTTCGTAAGTTCTATGGTCGATACAATGACCTTGTCAGCAAATAAAATTTATCATTGAGTCAAATGCTGACTGACGTTTTTCATTCTAATTGTTAGGCCATTATTTACACACTGAATTGTCGACGGATTTTCCGTTATTTCCAGATCATGACAAGGCGCAAACTGCGGGTGTGACCGGTCGGCAGGGATTGCCCAGTCCTCCATGGCACCTGATCCCACCTCTGATGTTTGGAGGTCTGTGTTTGCTCTGCTTCTATTTTGTATTGTTTAATGGACTTTTGAACTTGAATTCTGTTCGTTATCTCCATATATTTCATGTAAAACATTTTTCGATCTTGATTTTCTTCTTCCGTTTCATAATTTTAATGACCATATTATTCTTTAATAAATTACTAGTTTTGATGTTGTCAGAGTTAAAAATGACTTTCCTCTTCACATTTCCACTCCTGCTCAATTCACCGTTCATTTAGAAACTGTAGGAAAGATTTTGTTATTTACTTTTGTGAAATTGGCTTCTCTTTTTTTGATTTTTTTTGATATTTTTTTCGATCTTCTTTAATGATTCTCATAAATAAAAAAAACCCTTCATATAAGAGTTTCAAGGTTCTGAACTGATCCTTATGTCGCGGGTTTGACTCCCTCTGTATATTATCTTAAATGAAGGTTTGTATCACTGCGCCATGCAAGTATCATTAAATTATTACTCTCGGGGGGCTGCTAAATAAACCTTAAAAGGTACCAGCAAGTTTTTTTCAATACATGCGTATTCATAAAAAAATGAAATTAAGGGTTTTTCATAGAATATCAATTTTAAAAATTATGTCTATAAAACGTTTAGGGTTGGAGAAGGTTTTTGAAATCTAATACCGATGGTCTAAAATGATATATGATGATAAGGTTTCCCGTCAATTTGTCTGTTCACTAGCATATGTATGTATGTGAGATCATTTGTTTGCGTGACATCCCTACAAGCATAATTTACTCAATAAAGGTCTGATTACAATAAGGAATTTATATGTTTTCCCCTTTTTTACTGTCAAAACTTTGCTTCTACAGTTTTAAAAGAATTTCAACCTTTGATAGAATTCTTTTTTATCTTATTTTTAATAATGACACTACCATGCAACTTCTACAGTTTCCGGTTGTAGTAAAAATTGACATTCATTATTCCTCTTATCTGTTTGGTATTTTAAATAATGATAATGCTGATGAATGATATTGGTTTTTAAATGAAAAGAAATTTCTGTATTTTTTTTCTAATACTGTACTTCCTTTATTTCATTTCAGTTGGACATTTCATATCTAATTAACTCCAAATCATTTTCAAATAATCAAAAAATATTTATAATCAAATTATAAATAATCAAAACAAAAAGCAAAAAAATCAAAAATATGGTATGAGATTTTATCAAAATTTTGTTTTTAATAATAATGCATCAGAGATACTTAGAGTTCAAGAATTATAATTTTAAAGTTGTAAGTAATTTCATATTTCAAAACAATTCTTCTTGGTGTAATCCAATGATTTTTTGGGTCTAAATCATAGTTGAGAGTGTTTTAGCCTAGTCCTGTGACTGGGAATTAAAAATGATTTATATATGTATATACAATTAATTTATTACAGTTATCAATCAGATATTACCGCCTTTCTAAATATCTATATACGCACAATCTGTTGAAATTCAATGATCCAACCAACAGATGGTGAGTTTTTTCATCATAGCCTATACCCCGTGGTTTGTATATTTCTTGTTGTTGTGTCCGAATCAGTGTTAGGAAGTTACCATCCTTGTCAATCATCTGCACTGTGTCGGTGTGAACATCACATACCAGAATGTTTGACAGAGCGTCAGTGCAGACTCCACGTGGATGTATTCGTGATCCTGATGGAGGTCCTGTGTAGAAAAAGCGATGACTTCCTCCACCGTCTGTCACCACTACACCTCGGTAATCATCAGAGACAATAACATCTCCATTGCGGTTCTCTGTGATGTATTTAGGTTCGCTATAAAGTTCCTGACCTGATTTGTTGTGTTGTGTAGTTTGTAAGTGTTGCCCTGTTTGATTATAGCGGTTTATCTTCGCTTTTCTGTAATTATATGTATGCCACATCCCGATCAGTAGATCTCCATTGGAGGTGGAGCAGTGGACACACTGTGGTGTCCATGTTACTGTTTTCTTTATGAGTGTTGACCCTGTTCTGATATCTTTAGATAGTTTATTAATGTTATAATCCCTATCTATATAGATAAGATCACCTGTAGTGTTCAATGTGTGTGCTCCCCATACACTGCCTTGTATATCTTTAATTTGTTTGAGATATTCACCGGCTTTGTTTGATAATATAAGCTTGTTATTCCAGTCACTGATCCAGATCCGATCTAATGTGACACAGGAAAGGTGTAATACACCCCTAATGCCTATAACTCTGATACACCTGTGATATACGGGTGCGGACATCATTTTCAGCACCCTATCATTTTTTACATTTCTTTTTTGCTTCTCTACGATTTGGATTCCCTTCAGTAACTCAATCACATTCTTCGCCATGTCGCTTTCATCAGTCTCAGTGACCAGAGGGTGTTGCGTAAAGTTGGGGGTATTCTTTATGTTGGATACAATAGTTTTCTTTATAGAAAGAATGAATTTAACAGGCCTGTTTGCTGACTCTTCAGATATGCATTCATAGTTCTCTATTCTGGCAAGGTATCTCTCCATTGTCCTCCTCTGGTGTAGTAATTTAGAAACAAAAGGTCTGTGTCTAATTTTAAGATCACATACGGCAGTGTCGATGAGGATTTTTAGTTTCTGGAATTGAATTGACATGCCTGAGTAACTTCTGAAAATTTTTGTTTGAATACGTTTAAAATCAGTTTTGATTTCTGCAAGGAGAAAAAGGCTATTATAGAGAGTCACACTTCTGATGTTATGAATAACTTTTCTGTGTTGTTGACGGTTTATTTTATAAGCTGTTCGGATATCCAGAATTTTGTGTTTATTGTTTATTATCCCTTGTAGTAAAACAGGAAGTATTTTGGATTGTCCGTGCTCTGTACATTGGACACAGATAGGAAGTTCACAGGTTTGGCAGTACTTATCATATATTCTGCCTGGATGTCTCACACACATTTCTTGTATTGGGATGTAGTCATATTTTTCACGGTAAATCGTAACATCATGGTATATTGTATCTAAATCAATAACATGTATCTCTTTACACTGTAGACACAGGTCATGTTTACAGGTCTTACAGTAGAATTCTGTGTATCCATGACATTTAAAACATACTCTTAACTTACAATTGGTGCTGATTCCTAGCATGTCCAAAATGTCTGGGTTCCTGATATTTAGGAAAACTTTCTACTGCATTTGGTGGGAACTGAACTTCCTCTGTATTTATACCTAGAAATCAGAGAATATTATCAGACATTCATTTTAATATATATATATATATATATATATATATATATATATATATATATATATATATATATATATATATATATATATATATATATATATATATATATATATATGTATATATATATATATCCCCTGGCTGTGAGTGAGATAGCTCTTTTATCAAATCCACGAGAGGAACTATTCCAAGGGCTTGCCGGAGGGAAAAAACTATCTTTTAGTCTCAAAATTTCCACACATAGCAAAGCTATACCCCGGTGTATAGTTTTTGCTATTCACCCCTCGGAAAATTTTTCATGCAATTTTTGCCGCCAATTTTGATTTCCTGTAATCAATTTATAGACTTATGATGTCATCCTGATTTCAGTGGCATTGTGACGTTATCAGGATTTCAGCTCATTCTAGCAGTGTTATCGTATTCCAAATACTTGTTCAAAACTTTTATAATTATTTTTTTCGTCATGTTTTTACTATCGAACTGTAGTATCAGGTAAATCCAACCCTCAGAAATTATGATATACATCAGTATAATAAAACGCTTATCCACTGGCTGTGACTGGGATAGCTCTTTTATGAAACCCGCGACAGGAACTATTCCCCGAGGTCTTGCTCGAGGGGAATAGTTCCTGTCAAGGGTTTGATGAAAGAGCTATCCCACTCACAGCCAGTGGATAAGTGTATAATATATACTTTGCATCGTACTCTTAGTTATCAGAATTATTAGTTATGAGAATTAACTATCTATTATACTCCGATTCCTATGTGCCAGCTGCAAATGCTAATTTGGAATAATGTAAAATCTATTTGCATATGAAAGGTGGTATAAAAATGTATGTGATGCATAATTCTGTAACATGAATACGGTAGATCTGCACAGACATCGGTATCACGGGAATTAATTCGCATTAAACGGGATAATGCCAAATGTCAAAAAGAGCATTTGAGGAATTCTAATAAAAGAGTATATATACTAATTATGAAAATCACCTCACCTTTAATTGACCTAATTGCAAGCATACAATAGAAATTACATTCAGTTTCACCATCATCCTTTTATTATTATTATCAGTACGACTTAACAGTTATCAAAAATTGGTCAGGTTGTTTCGAAAGTTACTTATAATTAATTTCATGAGGAAATGAAAATCCAAATATAAAATATATGAAAAAAATTAATCAAAAGCAAATATTGCATGCTGGAACTGAACTTATTAAACTATAAACCGTTAAAACACACAGATGATTTAGCTTTCTTATATAAGTAGCGTGGCGCAGTGGTGAGAGCGTCTGCTGTAGAGTTGCGAAGTAAGAAGTTGATCCTTACTTCGCAGCTTCGAATCCCACTGTGGGACATGGAGACCGGTCCTTCGGATGAGACCGTATAAACCGAAGTCCCGTGTAGGTGCTGGCACGAAAAAGACCCCCTCACTGCTCAATGGCCGTAAGTGCCGAGCATAGGACAAAATTTGCAGCTCTCCACAGGAAAGTGGTGGCGTCTCAATATGAGTGAAAAATTCTCGAGAGGGACGTTAAACAACATACAATCAATCAATCTTACATAAGTATGTAAAAAAACAACAAAAAAGATGGTTTAACAAATTTCGTGTGTGATTAATTCTGATTGGCTTATACTTGAATGGTTATTTTTCAATGAAATTCTTTGATATTCAATACAAATAAATATATTTATTTTGAAACAATATAAAAAAAATATGTGAAAATCTAGAAACGTGTGCAGCATATACGCTGAAATTACATTGATTAATATCCGTAGTTTTCCAATGCCAATAAATTGTAGATCCTCAATACAAAAGTATTGTCTAATTCAATGAGGCTTTTAGTAAATGGGGCACTATAAGGGAGTGGTGAGCCGTTTTAGGAACATCGGTAACGGTTCCTGTTACAATTAGCAATTTTTTTGTTAAGTCATCACACAGTCAGTTTCTAAACTTATCAATAAAGTATGTATTAAAACTGGAAAGCCACATTTTTAATTTACAGGAAATTACCATTACATATTATCTGTAAGTCTCGCACAATGCCTTTCTGCCTTAACAATGACATTAACATATATGGTCGATACAATGACCTTGTTTGCAAATATAATCTGGCGTTGGGTCGAATGTTGAATGATGCCTTGCATAAAAAATGTACTGCCATTTTTTAAATACTGAATTGATTACGGATTTTTCCGTTTAACTTATCTTGACAAGGAACACAAGCTTTTAAGGCTTGTGTGACCGGTCTGCAGGGGATGCTTACCCCAACAATGGCACCTGATCCTACCTCTGTTTTTAGAGGTCGTGTTGGATCTGCTCATAATTCGTACTGTTTTATATTGACTTTTGAGAATTATCTTTATATTTCTTGTATCAAACTGTAAAAGCAGCACTTCAAAACTAAGAACATTATTATGCAATAAAATCTTATAGAGAAATACAGCGCTTTGATGTGATATTTTGACTCACATGCAATTCGAGAGTTACCAAACATCAGATAAATTAAATCACATTTGCAGATCCACTTGAATATCTTATTTGTTTAGCTTACATGTAATATGAGAAAATATTAGCCGAATCATTGACCAACGGATTGGCACAGTCTTGAGCGAATTTACTTCAGAACTTAGAATAAAGTCATATAAACAAAATAGATTTAGCTTCAATAAAACTTTATATATGAGCATTTATTAAACAACATAAACAAAATCAACGTTTTAAAATGTCTATGCAATTGGCATAAATATTCTTTAATCATTTTTCTATAATAGTAAAAAATGTAATTCATGCACGGACTTACGTAAGCGTAAGGAGAAAGAATAAATAATAAAGTAAAAGATTCATACCCCTTGATAGCCAATTTTGATTAGGCCAAATGAAATTCAAATGAAGAATCATGTAAGAAAAAAAACAAACTAATCAAACATACATATACGCCTTAAAGATAGTGTCTGTCGTCTCTACATTTTTATCAGTCAATAAAGCCAATCATTTGATCTGGATGAAGATAAACTAGTTACACGTATCTTAAGTCGGAATATGGACTATAAACTAATATGCTGCGCACTTAACAGTTCGACATTAAGTATTGTAAAACTGATATGAAGAAGAGTTCCTGTCAAAACAAGATTTGGCCAATTTTTTATTGATTATTTTTAAGACTTTTCTTCAAACATTAGTCTGGTAAGTGGAAAAAAAATAGAATCAGATAGTGCATTTATCTTAGAAATAATAATTACACCCCCCCCCCCCCCCCCATGAATTAGCGATAATTGCAACATTTTACCAAAATAATTTATATTTATTCTTCAATATGAAATATCATCATTTGCTTATATTGCAAATTATATGAACAGTATAGTCAATTAGTAAAAGAGTAATTAGGGTGTCTACACAGAATACAATTTTTCTAAGTGTTTGGACATTGCACATCAGTTGTATTTTGGTAGTCAAAGCTTCACATGCGACACATTGGACGTGCATTTTAAAATAAAGAATCGGATATCATATATCAAATGGCGATATTTCTAATGTTATCAGATTTTACATTTATTTTTTTTTTTTTTTTTTTTTTTTTTTTTTTTTTGAAAAGTCTCATTTTTCATGTTTACATGGAAGTTAAAAATAATCCCAAAATTTGAATTTTTTGTTCAACTTCTTGAAAATTTGGATAGGTCGGTCTTGAAAAACAACTAGAAAAAATGGCCGAAAAATAACTAATCTAAAATGCTCGAAAATTCACCATTTGGGGCCATTTTCAAAAGAAAATTTCTCGGGGTAGGCCCCCCAGAACCACCAAATGGACAATGACATTTCTGTCATTTTGACTGATAATAGAATTCTTTTTATCTCAAACTTAAAATTTGCGATAAATCAGTGGTCCTTAAAGTCTGCAGATGGTTCGAACGACGAAGAGTTTTATATTAGATTATACGTAATTCGAATTATTTTAGGTGTTCTTAGTATCGATTACTGGACAGATAGAAAAAATATAAACAGAAAACCCGCAAAAAACCACGATAAAGTTAGCACTTTCACAAATTAATTTGAAAAGAAAGGTAGCAAAAAAAATTGTAACAACACCTCTTTATAAGCACATTTTTGTTTTTTGTTTTTTTTTTCCGGTAAATTACTACTCTGATGTATAATTTGGACATAAGTTATAGTCACTATGGAATATCAAATGTTTTATTAGCTCAATTTCACTTTGTTTACGTCCAAAACAAAAAAAATATGACTTCTGCAATTTTGTAAGCTTGTTTAAAATAACTTCTTTTAAGGACAGATGATACAAGTGAAATATATGGAGATAATGAACAGTATTCAAGTTCAAAAGTCCATTAAACATTACAAAATAGGAGCAGAGCAAACACGGACCTCCAAAACATCAGAGGTGGGATCATGTGC